CGCCGGGACACGCCCCCTTCAGGCCACGCCTCCTGAGTGCCCCCTCCGCCGCTAGACCACGCCCCACCAGGCCTTCTCCCACGGCAGCCCGGACACGCCCCCTCCATGCCCCGCCCCGTTCCCTCCTCCTGGCCGCGACCCCTCCTCCAGGCCCCGCTCCGTTCCCGCCGCCAGGCTCCGCCCCGCCGCGCCGGCCGCGCAGGGCGGTTCCGCGCATGCGCAGTGCGCGCTCGCGCCGCGGGGTTAACGGTCGGCGCCCGCGCGGGCTCCGGCGCCCCCTCAGGGCCCGGCCTGGTGCCTGAGGGCGGCGCTGGCGGCTCCGCGCCTCTCCCTCGGGACGGCTCTTTAGGTGCCTTTTTGTTTTCAAAGCACCGTGCAGAAATTCCTGGGTTGTTTAATAAAACCATGCACGCAAGAAAAGCCCACAAAGAACTACTGCTGGAGGCAGCGCGCTTAAAATTCCTTGTTATTTCTCTATTTTTAGCACTGAGGAAAGAGCCGTAGCAGGGATGTCAGCTGCCCTCAGTGTAGCCGGGAGGGGCTACGGCTGTAATACCTAGGGTGGCCTTTTCTCCCAGCTCCCCGGCTGCCATTGAGGCACAAATCTCTAAATTAATAGGGATTTCACCCCTGGGGGGTGTGCTTAGTGTTAAYGGATGCTAAAGTAGAGTGTGTAACACCGAGAGGGAGAGAAGAGTGCGTGCAGGGATACAGCAGCAGATGGTGAAGATGTGTGTGTAGAGTCACAATTTACACTCTCTCTGGGAAATCCTGCAGGGGTGTTGGCCAGTATTTCCAGTTAAACACGTTTTTATGGTGCAGCCCAAACCCTCTTCAGCCCTGTGTGTCTTCCAGGACTCACCCTGATCCACTGACACCCGGTCTCCGATAGCGCTCCAAGCTCTGCTTGGCCTCCCACGTGTCCTAGGGAAGGCTGCTCCAAGGGGGCTCTCTGGTAGTCAGGGATATTTTTCACTTTGGGCAACATTTCTGATGCTCAAAACTTTAAGGCTTCAGTTATACGGGTTTATGGTTTGATCAGAGTCTTGGCAATAAATTAAAATTAATTTCAACTAAAATAATGGTCCACCCTCAGGTTCTTTCTTCTTCTCATGCCTGTTTAGGTTGTAAAGAAATYTGAAGTGAGCTTTAGATTTATGAGCTTTATCAGAAGTCTAAAATGAGTTAGATAAACAGACAAATTTGTCAAACAAAGTCTGCAAGTCTAAGATAAAATGCTCTCCACTTTATAAGAGCATGGGATGCTTTATTAGGAAAAATCARGTACATCTTTAATTCTGCTTGTTGGAGTGTAATGCAAGGTTTGTCATATTGCAAAATAATGGTAAAATGGCTTCATTTTTACACAGCTTGACTGCATCGGGATACAGAGACAGAGTGACGAACAAACACCAATAAATGTCAAACAAAGGAGACCCCCTGCCAGCACAGTCCATTCCAGCTGTGCTGTATGTCTGCTGCAAAGGGTGATTACRTTTGGATTATTCCTGGGAGATTTTGACACAACTGAAAACATCACAAATGCTTTTAAACACTCAAAGAGAGAATTGCTTTGTCCAAAGAGGCTGGCAGTCTGTCACACCAATCTAAAAGAGTTTTTTGCAAGTGGGGCCTTGTGCCATGTGTAGCAGTGAGGAAATGAATATGAAATCAATGACAAAGATCAGGGGACTTACAACAGTGGATGCTGTAGCCTTTAGGTGTTCACAGCAGAGGAAAACAACCTTACATAGATGTTCAAGGACATTATTTAAGTAGTCACGTTACAATAATCTTAAGAAAATCAAATCAGTACTTCTATGTCAAAGCAGAGATTATCTTCCAGGGTCTGACAGGCTGCAAATTCTTAGGTGGATAGAAGCCATGACTTACAGCTTTCCAAGCCTTTAAAATTGCACTGAACATATTGAAATAAAAATGTCCCCTCAGGAACTGTGAAGCCTCCAATGACAGGGCATGGATCAAACCTGCAATGATGGGGAAATGACCTAATAGATTTTTTTTCCATCCATCACTGTTGGAACGTCTGTTTTGTGAGAAAGCAAAATTGAAGCCTAAACCAACACTTTAATTAATGGACCAGTGTTGATTCAGAAGGTGKTGTAATTTTCATTAGTCCCTGATGCTCCAGCAGACCTTGTGAGTCTGCTGAAATACATATTTCTCATAACATTTAGAAAAATGCAGATGTTTCTCTTTATTTTTTTTTTTTATTTTTGTGCTGATAGGTTATTTTTCTTCTAACAAGACTTATGAGTCACCAAACTAATAAAGCTGCTTTACAGACTATGTGACAGATCTARGAGGAAGTTTTTAAAAGTGCTATATGTGAAATGCTGTGTGTCAGTGTTCAGCCATAAAAGCTGGAAAAATGATTATGTAGGAATCAGCTGAAAAGACCAAACTGTGTTCAACAGAATTTCTACAAGCCCTTCCAAAAATTGCAGGAAAGCACAAAAAAGGGCTTCCAGAAAGTTYCTGTATCTGTTGGCACAGATAGATTTTAAAAAGCAGCGCTGAGAGAGATGGAAATATTAGGCAGCACCAAATCACACATAGATATGAAGTCCAGCTTTAATAATCATATTTTTATGTGATGAAACAATTTCAGAAAAATTATTTTGGAAAATTATGCGTACACTCAGAAGAAATCTTTGCTAAGGGAGCAACATGATTTCTCTATGCAGTGTAAAGGTAAATAGTGTTAGCTAAAGAGAGAGTAARATTTAAAGACTGGTACATTTTTACTACCATAAATTGCAAATATACACATTTTGTGAGTGGGTTTTGCTGGTTAATTCCTGTATTTAGGAAGACTCAAATTTCTAGGAAACTTACAGAAAAGTAACTCTAGAGAGGCAGGCATAACTTCATTTAAATACTGCAAAYGATCTTGTTGTATTAAACAAGATAATATTAACTTGTGCATTAAAACTCAAAGTTACAATAATCTTGGGATGTTCTAGGAAGAATCAGACGTTGTACAAAATTTCAACAGCAAAAGCAAAAACAACAACTGAAGCCACCTTATAAGGGCTGTAGCAGATAATCACTGGCAATATTTRACTCAAATTGGTTATTTTTCTAAAAGATGCTTAAGACAGTGAAGTTCTATATCTTTTAGCTTAAAAGAGCTGATAGATGTTTACTGTAATTCCTCCTAGTTTTATAATTTATGGGTGCACAACACTTCTTAAAATCAGTCCTGGAGTTTTCACAMCACTTCTTAAAATTAGTCCTGGAGTTTTTCTACACTAAACACCTTGGAAAAGATAGCCCTATTCCTCCAATATTTGTATTGAACTTGAAGAAAAGATCTATACATGTTCTGAGTTCAGAAACGGTTAATGGTTAATGGTTAATAAAATGGATAGGGTGACAGTGGTTAACTGTTCCAGTGAGTGCATTGCATTAAAATATATCTGCAAAAGTGGGAAAGAACTTCTCCGACCTCCTAGGGGGACAGAGCAGCTCCTGTACAGCTCCAAAATGAGGTGAACACACAGATGGTGTAAAGCACCTCTGCCCAGCACTTTCCTGCTGCCCCCAGTACATCCTGCAGTGACTATTGGGCCGTTATCTCTCCTCTGAAGCAGGGAGACAAAGATAAAGCTCTCCAAGTGCTCCCGAGCMGCCGGCCTAGGACCCGGGAGACCTTGACCGCTTCGCAGGGGAGAAGGGATCAAATGACTTGGAGCTCCCGTCATGATGGTGCCTGCTGTGCCATTAAGTTCCATAAAGCTCTTCTGTCAGCATTAGCTGCAGTGCCCCTTGATCCCCTTGACCTCTGTTGGAGTGGGCTAATTACCCGCACAAGATAAGGGCTCAGTACCACCAAAGGGCACCGCGAGCACTTGTTCAGCCCACTCACCCTCGCAGTGCAAGGGGGGGCGAGGAACAACCCCAGCTCTGTTCCCTCCCACAAGAGGTTTTCCAGTGGTTTTACACCTCATATTCCCCTGCTTTTCCTCTGCTTCAGTTGCTTCCTTCTCCCTTGCTTTCTGTTTTCATTTCCCTCCCTTGTCTTCTTATTAATGTCCTCAACTCAGCTCTTCACTCTGTTCCCCCAAGTGGAGCCACAGCGGCTCTTTGGAGGCTTTCACCAGTCTGCTGTTTCTCCAGCCTCTCTCCTCTTTGCCCAGTTTGATTCTTGCCAACTACCCTGAAATCCTCCAGATCAGAAATTCTTAAAGAATTACAAGAGGAAATGGCCACAAACTGAAGCACCGAAAGAAAAATTTGTTAACAGTGAGGGTGCCCACTGAGGGTCCACAGGCTGCCCAGGGAGGCTGTGGAGATCCTTCCTCCCTTCCTTCCTCCCTTTCTTCCTCCCTTCCTTCCTTCCTCCCTCCCTCCCTCCCTCCCTCCCTTCCTTCCTTCCTTCCTTCCTTCCTTCCTTCCTTCCTTCCTTCCTTCCTTCCTTCCTTCCTTCCTTCCTTCCTTCCTTCCTTCCTTCCTTCCTNCTTCCTTCCTTCCTTCCTTCCTTCCTTCCTTCCTTCCTTCCTTCCTTCCTTCCTTCCTTCCTTCCTTCCTTCCTTCGTTAGATTTAG